TCCTACGTGTAGTTTAGAGCGTGGTTTCAGGAGACCAGTAATAGCGTTCCGCGTATTCGAATGGTTTGCCCTAGCGGTGCGAGGTGATAAAGAGATGTGAGGAGGGTTAGTCATGGAGATAAGAGAGGTATTAGGAGATGTAGGAAGGATTTGAGTGTGACCAACTTGGTCTCGTGTGCTGTTACGAGTATGAGGGCTGATATCACTTCCCGGCTGCCCACACCGTGGAAGGTTATTTATTGAGGAACCTGAAAAGGAAATTGGATTAGTGTTGATCTTTACGACCTTGGAGCGTGACCGCAAAGCCCAAGGAACAACTGCTTGATGAGGCCGGTCGCTCACGGCCTTTTCGTGGAAGGTTTTTAATGTGATAGCTCCGTTCTTCAAAGGGCCTTACCGCCGGAGACGGAAATCTGTGAAATAAGGTGAAGTGTGACATTTTTAGGGTCGACGTTTTCTAACCCCTTTCCTTCCTTGTCAGAAGGCAGCATAGCTGTAGATGCTGGTTGTCCGAGGGAAACACCTTACTGCTGTCACACCCCTCTACAGTCAGCAGTACGACTTCATCTTCAGACCTTGAGTTGCTGCTTTTAGTCTTACCGTTCTCCAATCAACCTGCCTGGCATGGTAGAACCTACAGGAACATATGTTCCAGCCAATATAGCTCGGTTGGGTCATCACGATAGGCAAACCCGTCCACCGCGTCAAGGTAGCAGCTTCGGTCGGGTCTGGGTGACATGGCTCAGAATCGATCACGATGACGTAGATGTATACACTTTATCTTCCTTTAAACTATGAGATTAAAATCGCTTCATATCTTTCTTTCTACCATTTAATTCTTTCTTCCTGTACTATGTCCTTATATACAATCTTCCTTTTATATATTGCCAACACTGAATTAACTACTATGAATTGGTGTTCATCTTGCGCTAATGAGTTGTGGCAACTTGAACCGATGCACATATGTGCTGGTCCTACGTTGTAGCTGACTGACTGACTGAATTAATTATCATTACTCAGTGGTATTGTAAATAACGAAGGGATTTTTTTGGACATATCTATTTTGATTTCTATAAAAATTGTCTAAATAATCTTAGCTATACCGAGTTTTTGACAGTTTGGTCGTTACGTGTTTTTATGGGAAAGAGTAGTATGAAAACAAGCTGCGGTATAGGCTAGAATTAAAATACACAACCAAAGAATTTCTATTTGCTTTGCGGAATGTGTAAGGTGTACGACTTTAAATGTACAAGACAACAACCATTACTTGATGCTTCTAACTGGCAGCTCATGGTAGGCTGCAGTTGTTTTCTTTTAAGTGTTTTCGCTTTCCGTCAGTTCTCAAGTTGTCGTTTGTTATTCCATCCACCTGAAGGATTTTATATCCCATTAATTTTGACAATTTCAAATGCTTATTCCTTAGTGGTAGTGCAAAACATTAGTTCCATTTTCTTTATTTATAGGGTGCCATTATTCCTACTGCTGGTGGTGGTTCGGCTGTTGTTTTTAATGATGTAGAAGTTTTACGTCAATCTTCTCCAGGCCGCGAACAAAGGTAGATTGTTGTTACATTATCGTTTTATTAAGATTCTTGCTAAGAATAGGATTTTCCTGAAGTAATATTATGAATATCTATTTTTATCCAGGAAATGTGTTCACTTGTGAATCTGACTAAATAATTAGTATGAAATACGATGACTGTGTAAATAGAATAGTTTTCAGTAACCCGTTTATCCAAACATATAACCGTATAATCTTAAGTTTATAAGTCCAAGTTTTCAGTACAATCAGAGTATTCGGAAAAAGTCGTGTATTCTCGCTTACAAACTGCCATACAGATTAATTCACTTTATATGGCATACATCCAACTTAGTATATGCCTTCACCCTCGCTGATCGGTTATAGTAATGTTTTTGTGTACTCGTATCAACCTCTAACCTGGATAGTATGATTTATAGTCTTTGCTCATTTTTACGTGGATTAGGCGGGTGCGTTTCTACATACGAACTGTCAAATACGTCCACCTTACACCTCCAAAATGCGGTCAGTAGTTGATTGTGTTGACTCGATTTCAGTAGTATATTCTAAGGGTAGTGGCTTTAAAGGGAATTAGAAGATATTTAGACTACCTCCTAGGATTAAAAATGAAATAGTGTTTCGGTAAACTTAGCAGAGTAGAGGCTTAATTAATGGGAAGTTATGTTTGAAAACTGTTGATGACCTTCAGTTTAGATTCTACGCTAATCCAGGTTCCCCACTACTGTAAACATCCCGTTAAGATTTAAAATGTGTAAGTTTTTTACTTCTATTTATAGGAAAAGTAGTCGCCCCAGAGGCGCTGATGCTCATTTGAAACAAGTTATAAGCGAAACTTCTCGTCGATCAGGGATAAAACGTCGCTATTCTAATTCACCGACAAGAAGACCTTCTAATGAATCTGTCTCAACACATAGTTCTCAAAGCACAATGGCATCTGACTATTGTCCTATGAGTCCATCTATAGAAAAAATCTCAACAGCTTATAATGATGCTAAATGTTATATCGGCATCGACTGTAATGGAGGAATGGGCTTACGAAAGTATGTTTTTTAATTTTAGATCTATATTGTTTTTCTCCAAACTATATTTCGTGCACTTTAAACTCAGAGGTCCATGATTCTATGGTTCTTAGAATAGTTCTCTGCCATATTTTCAAAAGATAATAAATGTTCACGCGATACACATAGTTCGCATTTGATTGGATAAACTTCCTAGTAGTTACTCTATTATACTGTTTTATGTGCTATTCATATCGCTATAATCATGGACATGTATTTCAAACTCGATTGTGCAGTCGTTACTTATTTCTGCGTCCCACTGATTGTAAACCGTGACGCATAATGAAAGCCGCGCCCATAGATGTCACTAGACTCAGAAAATTAGCTTTAACCAGATAGTCGTTAATAAAGCTGACAGTAAAAAGGGAGTTAAATTTAATTCACTGATATTACCTCTGCTATTCTGTCATCTGGCCTGACAATTTCATCTGTGTACTGATGGGATGTGGCAACTTGAACCGATGTACATACGTACCAGGTTTTGCGTTGTGATTGACATTTAATTCAGTTGATTGGAGTCATGAAGGAGACACTTTTAAGAACAGTTTAGCCAAACCTTAGATACATCCTAGTTATTCACAATCCCTCGACAGCCTGAACGGGCAATCAGCATTAACATCCGACTCTTAGTGGCGTTTGAATGCTACACTAATTGCCTTCGTTGAGCGTTCTTATTTCATAAGCAACTCAAACTCCCTAGTTATAATAACTGAAGTCATCTGAACAAATGAAATTTTTAAAAGATTGGATTCTATCGTTATCTTACACCTAATTAAAGCTCAGAAACACCAAGCCTGAAAAAACCAGACCTTACTCTGAGTGTAGCTATCAAGTCTGTGGAAAAATCGGCATATGGATGCAGAATTTTAGTCGTATTTCTTGACCTGAAGGATGAATTTACCTCATCAAATTCTAGATGATGCATCAAAAATTGTCTGTATTAATACATTATCTAAAGATAGAGTGCAGTAATCCGTCGTATCACATGAAAAAACAAACTCTGCTGAGTTATTAATTGACAAAACTGGCACAAGTTAAAGATGCGTGGAAAGAAAAATGACTTGTGAAAATTCAAGCATACGCGATCCAGCAGTTAATGTTGGCTGGTTGTAACAAAACCTCAAGAAACGTGTCTAACCTCTATTCGTTCGAAGAAACAACATGGCAGTAGAATATTAATTATTCCTAATAAAAGGCCTTACACATGTTACGTTAATTTCAGCTAAGAAAAGTAGTATATAAATGCTCCCCAAACTCTCCGACTGTCAGCAAAAACTACCAAGTTAAATTACTATCTTTTGTAATATGATGTGAAAAATTTACTTTTGTGTTTCTTATTTTTACTTATTGTCTACCAGTTATTTCAAGGAAGATTGTTTATTTATTTTTCTTTTTTTAGAAGGTCCAGATTGTAAAAAAGAACGTCGGAAGTAAAACTGATTACTTTTTTGCTTGTCTATTTAATATTATATAGAAAAACTACTAACTTATCCATATTCACGTGCATATTTTTTGTTTTTAACCGTTAAAACTATTTATATTTTATTAGTCTTTTGTCATTGCTTATTTTTGACGTACTGTAACACTTACATCAGATTCCCTTATAAAATCAAATACACTTATTTTATAACTTTTCTCGAACCTTTTTTGTTTTTTAGTGGCAGATATTTGAACTTTGTTATGTTACCATGACAATTTATACGGATTACCACTTGCCTACTGGAACACTAGTGGCATTTAGATTACTTTTAGTGCCTCAGTAACACAAAGCATGTCCAGCATCTGAAGTTGGTAAACGTGTTACTTAGTGCGGCATGGAGTTAGAACATTGTGAACGTCGATGTAAACATCAACGGAATTCATGAGGCAGATAGCTTGCGTCATTAAATCCAGTAATATAGTAAAAAGCGGCATTGGTAATACTGTTGATAAGAGTGGAATGGTCAAAAATTAATAGTAGAAAAAAATGTCCCGAAGTACAGGTGGGAAGCTCAAGTTTTTCGATTGTTAATCATGAAGGTGCAAAGACAGAGCTCACGGAGAAACCTGTAAATATGACGACTACGCGGAATTTTGAAGTCACTCGTCGGTAACTGGGTCCAGGCAACATCTGTTCGTACTTACTGTTCGGAAAACCCCCAAAAGTATCTCGAATTCGATATTCCTCAAAGTAAAGATAACTTCGAATGTAATCGTAAAGATGTTCTTGGAAAATGATCAGCCTATTAAGAAAGTTAAATTGGAGTGGCTCAGAAACCATTTCACACTGATACTTATCAGTTGAATTAAAAAGTCAAGTTCTACCCCGTACACATGATGCATCTGTACTGTGTAGAAGCTGTTCTGTCTTAAAACCCAGATTAAGTTTACATTTTAAGACTCAACCTCAGCACTACTTATTTTGTAAATCCGATTAATATTAACGGTGGGTTGCACATGATAAAAACATAACACATTTTAGTGTTCTCAATATACAGAAAGATAACACTGATTTAAACAAAGCTTATAGTACATGAATTTATTAACTACAGCAAAGGAATATATAAAACATGAAAGGCTTTTTCAAATAAATCTTTACAGTTGACTCAACAAAACAGAGTAGAAGATTATTCACAGAAGAGCAGTAAACACACTAGTAGATCGATGGCGTTTCAAACTTGGAGGACTTAACAAAACAGAATTAGGTTTAATCACATCAACTGGTCGTTTTTGCTGAAAAAAATAAATATTGGGGTTTACTGTTACCATTCAGAGAAAAACAAAATCTATGAAATTTAATTAGTTATTATTTGATGGGATACGTGGTTTTGGAGTTCCAGGTGAAGTGTATCTTTACGATGCAGACTATTCAATATGAGTTATTGCAATGCCAAGACATCGTAAGGTATTTTCTTAAATTCATATTAAGTAACTATGTTATGAAGAAAGACTAATCGAACTATTTAGCATATTTCGTAACTCAGCAGGTTTGTGCTTTTAGATAATGATATACCTTTACTGACGCTGCTATTTGAGTTGAAAGCTTAACAGTGAGCAGGTCATTGCTTATATTTGTGTCTGGAAATTTATTGCTAAATCTATAAAAACTCGTTACTTGAATTTGATTAGGCATTGATTTGTCTCTAAAGGGACTAATGTTAAGGTACTTGCATACGTAGTGGGCTGATTTATTTCAGATCGAAAAATTTGAAAAGGATAGCTAGGATCGAATAATGTAATCAAGTGAAGATGTCTAGTAGCCGAAAATATAATCACTGCGCTAGAGATATACCAGAAAATTTCCTGAGAACCATATTGTAAATCAGTAGCACTAACAGAAAGATAATTATAAGCAGCTATAAAACTGATCTAATACTAATCTGATACCCGAACCGTGCTGCATGGAAGGAAACAGATATTTGAGACGACAAAAGCTGTTTTCAAGTCGCCGAATAGTTACACAAAATTACTTCTGTGGCTAAGGTACAAAATATTGATGAGTGTAAACACATAATGTGCTTTCATAGTTAACACACTGAGCAAAGCATGATGAAAATGTTTCGACAGTGTATTTTAGCGGAACATGTATGAAATAAGTTAGCTTTATCAAAGCTTCAGTTGTGAGACATTCCCAGAAGTATACGTCTCGTAAGTCTTATACAGGAAGGAAAAGCTAGTCTAATTAAATTAGAAGTTCTGAAGTGAATGTTGATTAGCTTGAGTAAAAACTGAAATAAATTGCTGTAAGCGATTATTACCTAAATGCATCTTTTCATGAAATATAACTAACCTTAATGGCGAAATTACGGGATCTTAGAGAATTCTGGTTAGATGCACCGTTATCATCAAATGGGTCGGTTTTTTCTGGTTTAATTTGAGCCGTCATAACACTAAAGCACGATAGACCGACCTTGCTCCGTAAATCTAGATGTGTTTGGTCGCGACGACTTTCACTTTTTGACGTACCGACATCGAAACCATCGTTAACATTTGAATGAATCTGGGTAGTTTCAGATTTACAACCAGGAACAAGGCCCCCAGCAAAACGACTCAATAGAGAACCACGCTATAAAATACGAATGAGATTTCATTTGGAAAATAGTACTAAGCAAGCATATATAAGTAGTTACAAGAATCAAGACAGTGATATAATGTGGCTGAGTGTTGGCTACTCACGTGAACGTACAATTGATTTAGGACTGCGAATATGTAGAAATCAAAGACAAAACCACTAGTCAGAGTGGTAGTTTTCCATGTAATGCTTATATACAGAATATGAACACAAAATAAATATGATAAAATGTCATAGGCGATTGGAGGAAATCAGCTTGTAGGTCACTTATTCTCCAATCAATTGAGACCTAACTGTCAAGCCAAACCCTTGGGTTTAGTATCGACCTCACAGCCATGTTGAGGCGCAAATGTGACCTGGTTAGTATGAAAAAGTGAATTATTTATCTAGCCAAAGACATAACACAAGTGTCTTCATCAATGTGAAGTCCTACAAATATGCTTGTTAATACTATTATCCGACTTTTAAGAATAAAGCTTACTAAACAGCTTTGGTTTTTTTTTAATAAATAGCTGGATAAATCGTTATTAACTGATCTGTATCAGTGAACGAACTAATAAGATACTAAGGGTTTCTGATACAATTTCTACATCAACTCTTGTGATGATGTTATTGTATCTTTATTATTTCGGTTTATTAGGATATATCTTATTGATGACCCATTCTTTATCTGATTTATAATACAGTTAAGCGAAGTGTTAATTAGTCAAGATATACTAGACAAGGAAGAATATAAAAAATAAAGAATATAATAAAATGATAAATATTAGTAAACTTACTCTGATCATTTGAAGTCTTACATCACTACCAGTATTGTTAACATTAAATTTTACAGGAGCAATTGGTTTATCATTATTATTATTAGAAATGATAACACTGTCAACTTTACTATTATCTGTATCATTAGTAACACCTTCATTAATAGGTAGATTATGAGGTTTGGGTTGCAAGAAATAATTAGAGATCAATGGGCTTCTAAGCGTAGACGATGGTTTGATGGTCTTTCCTTCAGAGGAGCAGAAAAAATTGAAATATTAGTTTAAAATATTGGTTTTAATAACCAAAAGCTCTATTGCATAATAATAATGTATTAGATTGTGAATTAACTAACGTTTGCCGGTGACTGTCAATCACTTGCAATGGCTCAGATGCAACCACTATATTTTTTCCTTAAATTTTTAGATTTACAATTATCTAATATTTTCTTTAATTTCATGAATTTTTACTTACCTCTTGAAATATATTTTCCTATACCTAATCTTTCCTGCCATCGTTAAAACCATTACTAATTCTACTACTCTGGTGTCTCTCTTAGTAGTTATGTAGTGTAGTGACCCCAAACGATACACATGTACCAGGTTTTACATTGTGTATGACTGACTATCAATGAGAAATTCTACTACGAAAGATTAAAATAAATATGGGTACTTCGGCAATTAATTAAGCAGAGTTAGAGAAATAAACAGTAGCATATAAGCTGTAATACTATTGTGATGGATACATTGAGCTATGATGAATATAAATATTCTGAAGGATATACAGAAACCAAAATTCAATAGCCTTTTAGTAAAGCAGAATAACAGACTAGTAAAAAGTCCGATTAATTGAAATAGTTATCCGTGGAGGAGACATCAGTCAATCATAAACAGCTTAAAACTTCGGACATAGGTCCATTAGCTCAAGTTGCCACCTTTCTCACCAATATGCTGAGAGGGAACTAAAGAGATGAAGGGTAAAGGAGTGTGAATAATGGTAGTGTCAGTGATAACGAAAACAGAGAATACAGGTTGAAAAGAAATAGAATAATTATGAGCTATTCTGACTGATTTCGAATCTTGTCGCCAAATATATTAGAATAATTTAACATAATCAGTAGATTACAGCGCATATCTCAACCAGAAAGTTAGAAGCTCGAAAGACAGCCTTGTCCAACAGCAAAGACCTTCACTGATTGGTACTACTTTTATTTTGTCACTCCTAATTTCTTCCATCCTACTCAAACACTAGACATTGTTATACGTAATAACAGGCGTGACAGTTACATATTACAGATGTTTGATAGCTAATATAACGACTTTATGAAACAAGCACAAATGACACGATCTTGAGAAACATTTAAAATTGTTCTTGTAACCTGATTTGTTAGGTTTATACCGATTTCTAAATTTGTAATTGACGCCTTACATATGCGTACTTATATAACTGATTGAATATAGCCAACATTAGTGTACGATCAGACTGGAGCCAAACGAGATTATGATGAAATTAATAAGCGTGTAAAAAAATGAACATGTATTTATGGAGTGAATATCTGGGCAATAAATAAGACATTTGTGTGAGTAATTCGGAATACTGTAATAGTTGAGTGCTAAACATATACGCTTATATAAAAAGTCAAGATTATAAGCGAATAACTGACATGATCAAAGTATGTGAATAATGACTCAAGAAGATTAAATTAATTAGTCCGTCCAAAATCTAGAATAATTCATGAAAATGTGACATAGTACTAGACCGTACAGTGACCTCGTGAAGAAAGTTGTACATTAATGTGAAAAATAGCTAATTTCGAAAAGAATACTAGAGTGGTGTGTGAGTGACATCAATAATAAGTAACGAGAAAAGTACTATTCTGGATAGAGTATAATCATACATGAACGGTGAGTGTTCAGTACAAGTATCACATTTATGTAAAAAATATATATGAATACTGTACGAGGGTGGACTATTTTTTTCATCGTTCAATATCATAAAAATTTTCCAACCTAAAGTGAGTTCGTTCCATTTTTTCATGTCACTTCGCCCCATTATTGTGTACACATTCCCGCGACTGAAGTCATTTTTGAATTAGCGTACTTTAGTAGTTTGGCTCTGAGATAATTCTTTAGGCTTCGTAGACCAATCGCCCCAAATAAATGTTATTAAATAAATCGCACGGTGTATGAATTCAGAAGGCAACACGAAAGTGCCGACTTCGGTTTATCATTGAATAGCGCAGATCACAAAGCCACAAACATACCAAGCGAATTCGAGCAGAAAAGCTAATGCGCGCGAGCAAGCAAATATATAGGCGGATTCAGAGTCGAATCAATTCATAAGATTCAACCACATACAAATATGGAAAGTGAATGATTCATCAAGCGATCTTAAAGCAACTAACATTTAAGCTCGAGAGAGGGATATGTGTGTAGGCTGCCGCATATGATCAAGCATACATGATAAGAATACCAAGATATACAAATTGTTACTGATCAAACAACGCTCTTCTAAATAAGTGAATTGAAGGGCTAAGCAAAATTAATCAGAAACAAACCTAATTGTAGGAGAGGTGCTATTATATGTCTATGAATGCCTTTAATTCTAGCATGCCTTTTACTAAGACCGATTGTCTTTGGTATATTCTGAAGCGTCTATCACAGCAATGGCTCTATGAGACTTTAATTATTTAAAGTCAAACATTTTCGTAGCTATATTGTTATCACATTACACATTTCCGATGTATTTACCAAATGCTCGTATATCGAACAAATTGCTGCGTACTAAGTAAATTGGTGGTCTAACGACACCCGAATGCAGTCGAGAGAACTTCCTACACGCTGAAGATAGCACGGTTGTAACCAATCCAACGTTGGTAAGGGTCAGCAACGCTATCATAGACATAAGTTTGGATTCATACTCCCGCTAGTAGTTCTCAATATGCAACAATGTTCACTTATTTATTCGAGAATTTCAACAGATTTCCACCATATATCTATAGTCACTTGATGTTTAGTCGATAAGCCTTACTATCATGTTCATACATTCATCAAAATTTTGACTCAGAATTCTTGGCCTACAGAAATCGGATGTTGGACTATGATCATAGATTTGATGAAGAAAAATGATACCAACGCTGAATATTCCTAACAAGCACTAAATAAATAACTTACCACGATTGACTGGTAACTTATTACGTACAACTATTTGAGTTTTCAACTTCGTTTGAGATTTTAGTAAAGCCTTTTTTCCTAAAGATAAAACCTATTAAAAAGATAATATATAGAAGTATATCTTAACAACTGCACAGCTGGAAAATTAAGTTTACAGCAAATAATAAATTGAAATGGTCTAAAATGTGACTAATCTACAGTTGTAAACTTATACAAATAGAAAACTTAGTAAATAAAGGAAAAAGATAACTTTATTGTATACATCTGAAATGAATAGTACATATCATCACCAGTTTGATTATAGGATCAGAATACATATCGAATATTGCAAAAGGATTTAAAAAACATTCGGTTTTCAATATTATTAGTGAATAGTACAATTGTAACTTCTTTGACTGTGAAGCTGTGCGATATGGGGTCGAATCCACTAGAGAACATTAGTTCCCCCGAGATTACTAGCACACCTTACTGACCAAGTGCCAAATAGAATGAAAACTAGGAGAAGTAGGGTTTCGAATTGACTGATTTCAAACGCCATTTTACATTTCACTATAGTGCACGCGATGTCGAGTGACTTGAACTAGTGGCTAAATTTTAACTTGGCTGATAGAATTCAAACATCACTAAGAAGGACTTGATATAAATGACATTGGACACTTACTCAGTGATCAATAAATTGTAAATAAATACTTATATTAGCAGTGAGAGTGAACTTACACCATTTGATAAGACGTCAGTTACTATTTTCGAATTTTCCATTTCTTCATCAGATTCTAATACTGAATCATTAGGATCTTTATCATTTGTTTGTTTATTAGATGATGAATGTATTGTGTCAGAATCTAAATCATCATTTTCAATGGATTGATTATTTTCATCATTCGAGGATTTCATTGGACCACGACGTAACCAATTGTCTATAGGACCAAAAGGTATACCATGATTTTCATCTTCACTTGAATTATCATCATCACCACCACTATTATCCATGTTTATTTGATCATCAAATGGATCATCATTATCTAAAAATAAAGTTACTGATTAATACGTTTTTCAAATATCTAGTTTGGGAATTTACACATCCGAGAAATTCGAATGAACATTAGAAAGAACTAGTAGAGTGAAAAGCAATGCGCCATCCCTTATCATATTTCTACAGTAATGAGAAATTAGTGTAGAAAATGAATGACATAACATTTCAATTGACTTTGACTTCAATGAGAAGTTATTTCTTTTTAAAGGCAACGAAATAGTCTACATACATTACAGAGATGTAAAACAAACCAAACAAATTAGTCGATGTAAAGCTAACGGTTGACGTAATTCTCTAGGTCGGATTCTGTGAATGAAAGTATGCTACATTTAAGAAGTCAACACATAGAACTTAAATGTGATGATTCATATGGCTTTACCCAGCTAGCGAATCATGCATCTAGGAAATTGGTAAAAAAGTATCAGGTGTAGATTTAGCTAAGGATTGTTCATAGTTAAAACAACTGCCTATAAGTCTGTAGGACATACTTAAGTATCTTTGAATGGAGAGATATTGAACATGTAACTAGTTATCTAAAGAGAAATTCCTTGAATACATGCAACCTAGTTTGTTTAATTTTAAAACTGTGAAATCTTGTATTCAATTTTATCCATATTCATAAACGGAACATAAGCATTCATAAAAAATACTTATATAATAAGGTTACCTAAACCGCGCCAACGAAAACGTCTCTGACGAACTCGTCCATTTTCAGCATGTAAATCACCGTCTTCAAAATAAAGTTCCTGTCAAAATATTAAAGAAAACATCTCAACGATAGAAATCACTAAAATATGATTAATATCGCTCTAATAAGAATATTCTCGGAGAAAATATGGGTATTTCGAGTCGCAGTGAATACGCTGAGACATACTGATATAAAACTATATCTGGTTACTGGATAACAATTTGAACAAAATGTGGTAAGCAAAACATTACCGGTATATATGTATGGAAACACAGTTTTTGGTTTTTTATAACTAAACGATTGTTTACGTACATAAATCTTATAAAGGTTGGAGAAATTCGTTAACTAAATCCTCTAAAAAATCAATATCATTGTGAAATATACTATAAAGGAGCGCTAAATTACGTAACTACCACACACACTTGTACCTTAGTATAAACTATTCTTATAATGTGACTTAACTCTATCTAAAACGAAATAAGCTTACGGGGCTTGAATAGGTGAACAATTGGCCAAATTAAATTGTCAGGTAGATCATTTGATTTTCCAGATAATAAAGGTGACCAAAACGCACCGAAACACCATTCAGAGGTGATTAATTACTAAATATTTTTGAGGGACGTTATTTCAACTCATCCACCATTAGTGTATCCCTTTAAATGAAGATAGTCAGCACTATTTCTACGCGTTAGCGAAAAAAAAAGCCTGACTGTATTCATCGATGTGACATTTTACTGTCTGATGTTTTCAATTATAATCTGCAAACGAGTCTAATCTTTAGTTCATAAGTGAATTTCTATGTAGAAGAATATATGTTAGTACGCATATCAGATTTACATATAATAATAAGCATTACTATAGGATTGCGTTCTCTGAGGTCGGTGCTTTTAAGTTTGTCTCGATGATGTTATCAAGAAAGATAATGAAAGTTTCAAAACAAAACCATCTAGATGAAAGAATGCAATATCACCATAATTATCCTTGTGAACTACATAGAACATTTATTTATCAATGTAGTAGTTAAATTGAATTGTGCACGAATCTTTAAAAAAAATACACGATGAACAGGCTTTGATAAAGGATTATGAACAGTTTCAATAGATTGACAATCATGTAGGTTCAAATTTAAAGTATTGGTTTCCTCAATACAATATGGCAACTATTGAGCAGGAAATCTAATTCATTATAAAAAATTGTTATGACGACTATGTGACCTTTTGGTGACGGATTAGAGGAAGACAAACTGGAGATTCAAAACAGGGTAAATACTATGAAAATATTAGCGCAAGGAGTGGGTTTGCGAAGATTGTTGAAATTCATAGTTTACTTAACGGACTGTTCTAGTACAAAATACTAGACAGTTTTGTCCCAGGATAAGGCTCCTCAGTAGTTCGCATCTACGACTCTAGGGGTAAAATCCAGGACCTTAGGTCTAGTGGCGAGCTGTTAACTTTCAGATATCCGAGGTGGGACTCAATGATTTAGATATCTAACTTCAATCAGTTCATGATATTGCGTAACCGTCTTTCAATGGCAATAATGGACATGGTTGTAAAACGAAAAACAACCTCTACTAACTGACTGAATAATGATAAAAGTTGTCAGAATAACAATCGGATAAGTTGGACAAATAAAAATAAAAATCTACGTAAATATACCTTTAGATAACGTATTTCACGTAGATCTTGATCAGTTTGAAGGCGGTGGTGTACACGTTCAATTTGACGTCTTAAACGACCAGCTGACGGAATATCTGAATCATCTTCGTCAATTAAGTCAGCGAATTCTTCATTAGCATCATCATTGGGATCTAATTCATCTTCATCGTCCATGAAATATGCTCGTTCATTTTCATCACCAGACAATTCGGCTTCTTCATCCACAAAGTCGTTTATACGAAATCTAAAAATATATAATAATATTTATGTATAATATAAGTCTTAAAAACAGAATAAAAGCTTTAAACATTAAAATAACACAAACTTTCAATTACAAATACACTCCTCTTTGAATTCAGTCTTTTATCTTGTTTACTTATTTATTTATCTTCATTTAATGCATGCTGTGACATTTTTGATTTATTCCATATATAAAATGATATGTTTTCTTAATATACACAGACGGAAGACAAAATATAGTTGAATGAAATTTCTTCTCAAATCACTTACGTATACACACAATCTGTTATCTTAACACTTTTCGTTTCATACCACATATCTCGTACACATTAATGTGAATACCTACTTTAAACATTGTTCACGTTGATTGGATGACTTATTCAGTATACAGTAAACCAGAGAACCATGTACCTATTAATATTCGATAATTTTGTTGTTTGATTATATTTTCCTTGAAAAAGATTGGACCAGATTGCCAGGCGAAATGTTGGATTTACTTCAAATTCTTTCGCTGAGATTTTACAAATACATTATTCCTGTTTAATGACTCACATTAACTCGGTGCCCAAATATTGTGAAACTATTCGTTCAAATTTAGACGAAAGTTCTTATATAAACTTTAAGCAAGTTGTTTTGTTGAAACTATGAAATTATGATATCAAGCGGAATTTAAACAAATTAGTATTATTAAGCGTCAAAATGGTAAATCAAAATAAAGATGATTTTCTTTCAACTAATGTAGGATTCACAAGTTCAGTTGTTTACATTTAACATACAAAATATTCATTTACAAAACTGATTAGTTATTTCGTTTATTAATTAATGAAATAGGAACATAATAAGTGATGAACTTCAGTTTTTCAAGAAAACAGTATCATTGAGAGAAAAAAATATTTGCATAGGTTATAAAGTGCCCAAAAGTTACCTAGGCATTATTTATTTATTGGTTTGATTGTTGTATAATTTAAAGTCATAAAAATGACTCAGGTCGACCCCCCTAATTTTCTTTGCTATTAGAATTTTACTCGAGTCAAATAAAAAGTTTACTTAACTTCTTCGAATTGTGTATTGTTGAGACAAACATCCTTTCTGAGATGTGGCGGTCAGTCATAGCAGTGTAAGTAAGTAAACATTGAAACAAAGTAGATAACACTAAAACACTACAAATACTCATACACAAGGGTATGATGATCACCAATTATGTAAGAAATCTAAAAAAATAACACATGACATGTTAAGTATCTGTGCAAGTAACTCAAAGGTGGAATTCTATCGGTATGAAAAAAACTGTTGGCAAGACAGAAGAAAAGCATTTCACTTACTTTTTCTTTTTTTTAGTTTCATTCGACTGTATAGTTAGACGCTGAACTTCCTCTTCATCATCAAGATAATTGTCTTTTTCTTCCTCTTCATCTCTTTCCGAGGACTCGTCATCATCACTGCGATTATCTTCGTCAGTTATATCATCAGGATCAATATTTTCTTCATCATCTCCTGCTTCAATAGTATGATCATCTGATTCATCAACACTTGAGCTCTTATCCTCTAATTCCACATTATCATCTGTATGGAGTACTTCTGGTAAATTGTCACCAGTAAAATTAGATTCTGCAAAAGATATACATAAGAAACATGCAAAAACAAACCTGATGTGGACTTAAAAGGATTATTCCGTATGAGTGAAGCTGGTCCAATACAGCTATTATCCTTCTTTTCTTCATTCCCTTCTTCTTCTTCATCATCTTCATCAAAAACTAAAATTCGTCGACGAGATGAATTCTATGTATGGAGAATGAAACAGTGGTAGAGAGATTCAAATTTAAATAAAACTAAACGAACAGATTACGAGCATGAGGAGAATTAATACAAGCAAAATGAAAATTTAGACTAAAGAAGAACGTTAATAAAGATAAATCATCTGATATATTAAGGTTTACAGGTCCAAGGGTCATCTTAAAAAAATGTCAAGGTATTCATTGTGTTCATAACACTAAAGAATGCAGGATGTTTACAGAGATTAAAAATATAAGTAAGCGCCCTTAATTACATCCACATGGCGTATATGGGTAAGAATGAAATAGGCATCACTAACCAATCCTATTGGTTATCATAAATTCTAGAGATGAATCTCTATGAATAATAACAGTCAATCTATTTAAGGACAGTAATTTTATAGAACAGGTTGGGAGAAATCACTTACTTGAGTCGTAAACACAGAAATAGGGTGCTCAGATTCCTGAAAGTCTGAAAGAGAATATAAACAATCATGAATTCTGTAATTCATTGTGATAATGAGCAAGTATTATTACTATTTAAGTTCTGAGTCACCTTTTTATGCTACATTAAGGTGGTCGCCACTAAGCGTGGATAAATCGGGATTCTCAAAAAGTTAATCTGTGACGAGAATAAGTCAATGCGAAACTCTTTGACTATGAAATTGTCACACATGAAATACTAGTTACTTTAATACTGTAAATGGGTCGAAGTAACATATGTCGACTTAAACGAAAATTAAATGGATTAAAAACTATTACTATTACTAGTTAGCCGATATAACATCAGCCCACTAATCTTATGATTGTTCTTCCTTTTTTACTCATACCCTTATAGCAATTCTTCAAAATGACTAGTTGTCGCTAATTTAAGTAAATCAACATAACTCTTCTGTCTCTTGTTCTTACTATCAGTTCTATTAACATTATAATCACTACAGGATTACCCGACTTACAACCATTTTAATCACGAAAGTATTCACGTTTACTCCTAGTTTTCAGGGTTTTTCGAATTATCTTTATTGTCACAACCGTAATGTCAATGAAACTGATTCGCAAATACATTATGTAGATGGACATTACAAAGAAAAATCTTACTTATTTTATTGTCATATAAATCGAGCTTCTGCAGGATCATAGTGGATAGTAATGAGTCATTATGTGCGCATTTCCATCGTTTACATAATCAATTGGTTTTATTTAGGAAACCGCCGAAAACTAGTAGGCACTGGATAACTGTTTCGTTTAAGTATGGGCCTCCTTTCAGTAGTGCATCTACGACACCATTGGAGAGGATCATACCCAGGACCTAAGGTCTCGAGACTACTGAGCTGCGGTCTGATGATGTGATATACATGTTCAATTTCAATGAACTTGAGCTATTACACGAACGACTTCCATTACATGTGGTGAGTAATTGACTTGCACTCGACATGGTTGAATTTCACGAATCAAACCTTTGAACTAGAACTTTTGGAATAACATCTCAAAGTTAGTCACTTGTGAGCAAATTAATATTTCAAATATAAAGGGTTTGTGGAGATTGTTGGCTTGTCATGGTTTATAAATATTGATCTCGAAACTGTAAAACTATATATTATTTCTTTAGAAAGTTATCGATATGTGAAAGCTAAAGAGCATATAGAATGGAATTGACTTTATTCTAAGACGTTTGTTAGCCTGTTTAACAAACCAGTTAGTACAAGTTATACCGAATCAACTGAATGTAAAAATTACCTGGATCATCATGATTATTTACAGCTGACTTTACACTTTCATTGACAAAGCCTTGTGATTGGTCATATGTAGACTCGCCAAATGGACTACGACAGTTTTCATGAGAATCTGTTCAGGAAGATTTATAAATAGATGATGAAAATTAGATAAAAGTAGCTTTATTGTTGCTGCGGGACATTTAAACTACAATTCAGTATACTTTAATTATAAACAAATAGCTAAAGTTATGATGAAGTATTTTTACGATTGTCTGCATTGTAATGTATGATATCCTATTGTTTTAGTGATCCTGAAAGGCGATTTGCCCATCCAACTGCTTCCATGTTTTAGTCCATTTTTCTAGTTATTAGAAATTAATGAACTAAAAAAAACACAAAAGAAATTGACAAGAAGGATCACAGAAAAAAATAATTAGTGAAACGAAAAGATAAAATCTATTTTTGACAGGATAAATGACGGTATTTTATAGTAACATGATTAATCTGTGACTAAATGTTATTTTATACTAATTCCCAGTAAAACGAAATACTTAAACTATTTGAAAATTACAACTGAAAAGGCAAATAACACTGCGAATATATGGAAGAAAACTTATCAAATTATCATATGATGAAGTAAAACATTATCATCATCGTTTTAGTTCAAAAGTGGAGATGAAATACCTGAATTATTACTATTGATAATTGAGTTTTTCACTTCGTTTGTTGATTCTTGTGACGGGACACATATTGATCCGCTGAATAGATTACCATGCTTTTCATGTCGAATCTGGGAATCTATCGACAGAAAAACACAGACAAGAAAATATAACACTTAACTTCAAAAGTAAACCCAAAATTAAATACTTTCAAGAATCAGAAAAGCAGTAAGAAGAGTTAGTGAGGGAGAATATAACAAGGAGGTTTTCCATTAACATATTAAAACCGTTATCTCGTATTTACTGTTTTTAAAAATAGAATCCATTTAAATATGTGGAAAAACGATTAGACGCAAAAAACTGAACAAGCACAAACAAATACACCATTAAGAAGAGGTGGATCAGTGGTTAGGGTGTTCAACCACCAAGTACGTAGTACGAAACCTACTTCATCTATTACGTTTTGGCTAACCGGGCAGTAGTATCACTTAGAGTGTGACTTAAAGCCAAGTGCATGATTCTGTACCTGGTAAATAAATATCAATGAACAGTACCAGCTTCCAAAAACTTTAATAAGCCTATAAATGACAGTATCGAAAAATCGAAACGTAATTCAAAAATCGTATAATAAAGAACTAGAGGTGTGATGGATGCGAAGCAATTTTTATGATCCTTACAACCAACAGGAAAATGAAACGTTATATCAATAAAATCTCTAACAGGTTCCTTTTGTCATTAAATCTATGGAAGAATGAAGACTTAAGTGGATTAGTTTAGTGAAGAGTAATGCATATATCTAAGAAAAATATGCACAAATTACCCAGATCATTATCATCAGCCAAATCCATGAAAGCTTGCGATTGCGTACCTATTGATCCTCCAAACAAAATACGATGATTATCGTGATTAGTTAGGGAATCTATGAAAAAACAGAATGTAGTTGAAATAACGATATAATTCATCTGAATCTTCAAGAGACGTGGGCATCTCATTGCCTTAAAGTGACATGGGAAAACAACGTTATCAACAACAAAAATACTCAATTGGTTTGGGATACTGTTTCAAACAGACCTAAAATGATCAGAAATGGTAATAAATTTAAGGAAGTGAATATTAGGTGATTTATGAAATAGTGTTAGCTAAAAAAGGACTATAACAAACTGAAATGTCGAAACAAATTTACGGCATTCAACTCGAATAGTGAGAAGTCGCCAAGGTCAGTATTTGGAAGAGTTATTATTGGATATAAGCTTTTGATCAGTGAGCATTATCTACTTTTCTGTGTTTATTCAGAATATGTAAAACATCCGTATATCTAAATTAAATATTTAACTAATATATCCACCCAGTCAAAAATATTCAAATACCTGTTACATGACTACCTGTGATTGATTTTGTAGTATCATCGATAAGTTCTTGTGATTGGTTATTGATTGATCCTCCAAAAAGATTACAACGATCGTTATGGAGAACCTGAGAATCTATGTATACAAACAAAACGAGTAGATTTAGCGAACAAAACAAGAAAAAGATGAAATAAAACATACTCATACAAAAACTGTGATATAGAGTGCACTAGAAGGTATAAGCCAACGTACATTATACAGTGAAATGTATGAAAACAAGTAAACAAATAACAAATTGATCTAATTTTACAAGCTTCAATTATTCACTGAAACTAATATGTACGTATTGATAATTTCATAGGATAAATGCTATCATGATTGTTAAAAAAAAGCATAGGAATAAACAAAGAAATAGTCATTAAAGTAATTAAGTATCAATAAACTTCAGTCGTCAAGAAAATAGTGTACAATTAGGAAAAAAAACAATGAGCTAGAATGAAATCAAAGATAAATTAAAGTTACTGATACAAATTAAAAAAAGATGAGTTAAATGAAGTTTAACAGAATATACAGCTACCATTTATCTTAATAATCCTACTAATGATTGAGACAGTGAATTCAAAGGCAGACAAAATATCGGTAAATGTTATATGAAAATGTAATAATTAAGAGAAATGGTGGTTAATTCATAGAATAATATGTTTCCCTGAATGAGTTAAATTGTAATCGAACCAAAACAGAAACTTTTTTTCTATATAGTGAAATTTCTGTAAAGTGAACAAAGAGTGATGTTGACTCTATTTTTTGTTTTGTTAGTTTTCATTATACTAAGAAGATCAATTGTTGTTAAATCAGAGACCGCTATAATATAAGTTGGAACTGGTTTTCGGAATTGTTATCTATTATATTCTTGTTGTATAGCTACTGAGTAACTAGAATACTATGTATATGTATTTCTTGAATCAGAATCTCTCGGTTAACCTATAAACTACTGTTATACGACTTACTATTCCTAATTGGTTACCAGCCCCTACTCAAAACCACTTTTGATTAGTTAATATATATCATTGTTATTTTTCATTTTATAATGTAGTGTGGTCTTGTACGTCTGTATAGAAAAATACGTCTGTTTGAAACATAGGGATCGTAGAGGCTGGGTGCCGCGTTTGAACTTAAAGGCAGGATATAGAGAGAAGTTTGTGAATGGTAAACTGATAAGAACTTAGCTGTCGATTCAGGTGTGTAATTGGTCGTGTCAGAGGCAATAAGCTATATAGTAAATAACAGATCAAATGAAGAGCAAGATTCTGATTGGTAGCTTATCACGTTGTTTCGTCAGATGGTTTCAAGGCATAAAAATGTCACTGCTGAGCAACATTCAGTCCGAATGAATTGGACTCGAAACACAGAGAGTTGATACCCCGTTTCCGACTAAACAGTTATAAAAAATTTTGTGGTTTCTCATCAGCTGCTTACAACCAAATATGTATTTGAATTTTACATTGAGGTAAGATATAATGTGGAACAATTGACATAAATGAATGTTTTATTTCAAACACCTTTCTATATTTTAACAAAGTACAGGATTGATTATCCCCAAGAATTCAAAACTGCATATCGCATAGCAATGGTCAAAATGAACGATATTTAACCAGTCAACTCAGTGAACCCCATCACTACCCAGTCAGTGTGATACAGTTTTTCACATATTGTAAATAACAAAAGCACTACTACTAGTAAATATGCATGAATACATAAAATGAACGGTGCATGAAAACGGTATCTCTACATATAAGGAATATTAAAGAACCAAATAAGATAAACACCTATATCATCATTCTCATCAAAGGATTTAGTTGTGACCGGATCCACAACTACTTGAGGTTTGTCACACATCGATTCACCGAAGAGATTGTGACGATTTTCATGGTGAACCTGGGAATCTGCAAAAGAACATGGAAAGAAAAGAATATGAAGACATATAGTGCATGTACCAATACAATATTTTAAAAAAAATTAACTAAACATGCATACAACTGAGCGACATTTCCATTCATTGGCTTCTTAATATCAGTCAGTCAGTCAGCTGCAACGTAGGACCAGGCACATATACGCATCGGTACAAATCGCCATACCGCAAGATGAACACAGGATTCATAGAAGTACTTAATTCAGTGGTGGTAATATATAAAAGAAAGATTGCATATAAAGACATAGTATAGGAAGGAAGAATTAGTTCGTAGAAAGAAAGATATGGAGTGATTTTAATCTCACGATTTAAAGGAAGACAGGAAGTGTATACACCTATGCTACTGTGATCGATTCTGAGCCATGTCACCAAGAATCTCCAAACATTGGTTACGATAGTCACGCGGACCCTAACCAACTAGTCTGCATCTACCAACATGGCTCAGACTAGAAGTTCGTGACTTCAAGCACTGATGCCACGTTTTGGTTTGGCCTCCCCTAACTTTCTTCCAACCATCCGCAACACTACTCAGCATTGCACGTCGTGGTAATCGATGGTTGGGCATGCGTGATACGTGGCCCAGCCATCTCAGTCGATGAAGATTCACAACCTCATCAACTGATTTACTACCATTCCCTAATACCCTGCGTCTAACCTCACTGTTGCTTACCCGGTGATCCCAGCAGACGCCAGCAATATTTCTAAGACATCTGTGGTCAAATATTAGTAACTTACGAGTGTCTTCTACCCTTAATATCCATGTTTGGCAGTCATAAAGCAGAACAGAACGAACTGCCGCACAGTCTACTCGTCCTTTAATTGATAGACGGATATCTCGCCTTTGTCATAAGTGACGTAAGTTGGCAAAAGCCAAACGAGCTTTTCGAATCCGTGCTGAGATTTCGTCAGACACCAACCCATTAGGGCTGATCAGAATTCCAAGATAAATGAAGTTGTCAACGCGTTCGACTACTTCACTCCCTATCCTTAGTTCAGGTGTTAACGCAGACCAGTCCTGAAGCAACAACTTGCATTTAGAGGGAGAGAAGCGCATTCCAAACATCCTGGCATTGTTGCTCAGTGCTACCAGAAGACTCTGCATTTTATCAGCGTCTTCACCAAACAGGACTATATCATCTGCGTATTCGAAGTCGATAAGTGGACCTCCTGGAAGGAGATCAATACCCGAGAATTCAGTCAACCAGAGTGTTATTTCCATCAATAGGTCCATGATGAAGTTAAACAAAAATGGAGAAAGTGGACAGCTTGACGGACACCACTTGAGGTTACAAAAACAGATGACAGTTAGCCATAAGCTCTGACTCGACTGGTAGTGTTCGAGTAAAGAGCTTTCACAAGGTTTATGTACTTTTGAGGTACGTCTTTCAATGATAGACACTGCCACAGAATCTCGCGGTCTACCGAGTCAAATGCTGCTTTTAAGTCTAGAAAGACCACCATTGTCGGACGCCGATAGGTATGCCTGTGTTCTAGAACCTGACGAATGGTGAATATGTGGTCGATGCATCCACGACCAGGTCTGAAGCCAGCTTGATTCTCTCGTGTTTGCAGTTCACGAGTCTTAGTTAAGCGTCCGATAATTATCGAGGCTAGTATTTTAGATGCTTTTTAATGAAACTATACAGTATCAAGGTTATGGTACTACTGAGAAATATGGAATCAGTACTGATCTTTTGTTTCCTCGACAGTAATTTGTGCATGATTACAAATTGTAAATTTTCAGATGGTATGCTACTTTTATAGACAATGTTATCAATAAAAAATTATTAATACCGAAACACAAGCAAATTCATACAAACAGTCATTCATGCTATAAGAATATGCAACACAGGGTTATGTCAAATAAATTAGAAAATTTTAGGACAATAAAGTTAAAATACCAGCATTGCTGTTTTCGACACTTGACTTTGCAAGGATGTCCACAAACAATCCTGACTGGTCACTCACTGATTCACCGAACAGATGACGACGGTTTTCGTGGAGAACTTGTGATTCTGTATTTATGAGAAGTAAAGCAAAACACTGAAGAGGATAAAAGATCAACATATGAATACTAATGTTAAACAAACATGGTAGTGCACCGAAATCATCGTAAATATTTATAAGTAATGGCCTGAAGGTTAAATCCTTTGACTTTGACAAATAAGTTTGTAATTGAGAACACGAACCGATAAATGTTAGATTACCATTGAAGACCTGGATGCACTGAATGGCTGTTTCATCTTAGCATGGCATTCCTCAGCAGAGCTCACCTACGACTCCGCACGTGGGATTCGAAACCAAGACTTTCAGTCTCACGCGGACGCTTGATTTCTAGACTACTGAGGCGAGATCTAACGGTGTTGGTGTCTAACTTCAATTAATCCACGACATTGCGCAACTGTTTCCCATTGTCTTCGGTGTGTCACTGCATCACACCCAACATAGTTGAACTCCATTGGTTTGAACCCGGCTGCGCCTATGTCAATTTTAAAAGTCAAATCGTACGCTATCCCGTAAAAAAATATAAAACGAAGCTAAGTACACAAATTCATACTTTGTAACTACGGCATATTAATTAATGAATTAATTTTCATTAAGGAAACTTAAAAATATCAAGAAGGTATTGTATACTTTTCGCCTTCAGTAGTCAAGATGTTATTTTAATCACAGTTATGGCAGAATAAGTATACCATCGAAAAAATCACTTAATGTGTTCATATAGGGTTTAGTGTGATAAAAATATATTTGACACTAGCATGTGTACGTCACAGTTATATGTATTTATCGTTAAACAATAAACGCAATAAAATACGATAATTACAAGATATTTTTCATATTTAACAGATAAACGTTATGAATTTGGACAAGGAGTAGTGAAAACTGACTGGGATCATTGTGGCACTGAAGATGAGCATAAAGCAGTTAAGAACGAACTAAAATTTACATAACTTTAAAGGTCGATTACTCTTCAATCTGTAGAAATGTACTTGTAAAAGTGACTTTGTATACAATTATGAAAGATATGTAATGTAATGAATTAATGTCAATGAAGATTATTCAAAATGATAGGCTCAATACATATAATGATACTATAGATATGTATAAAAAGCTTATAACTCACGAAGACTTGAATTCCTTGCCTCAGATATTATAATCGTAGGATCTAGCTGAGATATTAGTTGAGTTGGTTCCTGAGATAATAAGACCGTGTCCTGAGATGATATATTATGAGGGTTAGCTAAAAAGAAGGAAATATTGATGAACAGAAGGAAACACTTAGAAGACGAGGTGAATACAGCTAAAATGACAAAAATTAACTTATTTTTTGTGGAATAGTTCAAGAGTTTTCCGGAAAGGAAAACGAACATTATTTCTAGGTTATGCTACTAAGAAAATATTTCTGTTTATCTCCTAATCTAACTGCACCTATAGCTCTCCTAGGGTTACTACTGGTCCCAAGCCCAGATAAAGGAGGGTTAGGCATAGGGTCAGCAACCGCTTCTCGTAGAAAAATACCTTACTAAATCACGATAACCTGAAAAAAACAATTTAAACTATTCAAACTCTGTCATGGGAGTTGAAGGGTCACCACGTAGAAGAATCATTATGCCTAATAGTGAAAGACAAGATTCTTTGAAAATCACGAAGCCGGTGCTCCTTCTGATAACTAAGGAGCAATTTATAAAGGCACGTGGAATATGAGAGACCGGGAGCACCAGTCAAATAGTTGCATGAATGAGAAGATACAACTTAGCGGTTCTCTCAATAAGTGAAACCCATTTAACCTAAGCTGAACAGAAAAGATAAACATTGGGAGAAGTGCTAATTCGTGTCAGATGTGAGTTAGTTACTCACCGCAAACAATGGAAGATGGTGGCACAATGATGTGATTTGATTGAAGCTAGTAGTTAACATCGTCGGATGTCAACTCAGTGGTCTAGAGATCAAGGGTTCGCGCGCGAAATTGAAAGTCCTAGGTTAGATTCCAGAGTGCGGGATCACGGATGAGTTTCACACTCAGACGAAATGGCAGTTCAATGCTTCCAAGTTTTCAATGGTGGTCTAACTTAGATCGGTTAGTGATTTCAGTGACATATATTAGATATTGTATAATAGATGAACTTACACGTCATTATATGATTGTCATCAGTGGACTCTTGAGTGATAGACTCTGATCTGGAAGCTACTAACAAAATAAAATACAAACCAATAATGGAACAGCTTTAACGCTTTAGTCCATAGTTAATATAAAGAAAGAACTTAAAAATAATTAAGCTCTACGTAAAACTCATTTTGGCGAGACTATAATTTATGGACGAACCAATCAGGTATAAGATAGCAGATCTCGGATTGTGGCGCGAAATTCACTCATCCATTTGGCAAAATAAAGTTTTGGCATTATAGCTGGTGTCAGATCATGATGAAAACCCTAAATATAATTCCTAACCTTAACCGTTAACTGTAAATCACAACTCAAAGTCCTCACACAGGTTCATAGCCTTCATTTGGTCCTAGTTATTAGGTGGACACTATCAAGGTCAGTCCAGCGTCGCTCAAAGGTCGTCCATAAATTAGTCTCACCCTTATTTCAAATAAGAATTCCTTCTAATACTTTTATGCTAACCACTTAAAGCACAATGTTGGAATTTAATGACAATTACATTTCTTTCTGTTTCAGGAAAAATGCTTCTCTGAAATTATGAAGACTAATAAATATGAGAACTAATGAATCGGTTATATCAATGAAAATTATTTTAATAAACTAACGATGATTAAAAATAGAAATCTTGCAAGGCTTACGTAATTGACTGTTTGGCTTTTGAGAATACAGTAATTCATAAGGTGTATTATTCCATTGACTATGAGAAGATGAATTACGGGTAAATCGAGACTTGTTTTCGTCCTAATTAGGAAAAAAGAGCAAAGTTGACCTTCTGGATGAAGGAATGAATTTGAAAGAAATTTATCAACTTAAGTTAATCAGACATAACATTTACTAGAGTCAGAGTAGGTTAGTTTAAAACCTGTGCGAGTATGTTACTGAAAGAGACGTGTTTTCGCTTGATATCAGATACACTCTATTAAATAATGATCAAAAGCATAAAGTTTCGTTCATTCGAAACTTTCTTTCAGATTCAGTAAAATACGTAAAGATAAGTATTATTACCAAAATTCGACTTAATAATTTCAAATTCACAAATATATCATAATCTTATCAATAGACAGGTAGATGATTCGTGCATTGGGTTATGATGTTACAGAACATTGGTAATATCAATCACTAGTTGTACCACGCAGCTTTCATTTTTCAACTACAAAAGTAAAATAATCCTTTGTAGATTAATGCTGACTAGTAATTTAAATGACTAGTTTCACTAAAACAATTTTTTACTTATTATACAGGATAAGACTTAAGGATTTATTTTCAGTTTAGAAAAATAATGTTACATAATTAGTTAAGTCAGGTTTAGTGTGAAACAAGAGAAACACAAGATATACTTACACCGATGGTAGTTGCATCTAAACGAGTAGAGGCCAATATAGACTGAGGATTAATAGTTCCTGGCAAAAAAGTTAGAAAAAATTGCTAAGTATACACCGAGCATACAATGAAATTAAAAAATTGGAATTGTATCAGCAGAGAAATTAATATATATATATATATATATAAAGCATTTCTAACATTTTTAAACTAATTTCTTCTTCACCGTAAGAAAACATGCAAAATAATTCTCATGGTTTGAAGGACGAACTGATCCTTAGCTAGACCACCACTGGAAGCTTGTATGCAGTGGACGATCGAACCCAGAACTTCTGGTCATATACACTAGTCGGTACCGGGTCAGCCGTCTAAGGTTCAGGGATTTGCGTGCGAGACAGAGGGTCCCGCGTTTGATTCTTGGATAGAGGACAGTGGACGCGTACTGTTGAGGAGTTCAGTACTGGGACGAAATGCTCATCCAGTGCTTCCAGCTAAGACCAGTTTTGATTCAAAAAATGAGAGTTCCACAACCTCCACAAATCCCCTCATAGTGATGTAAAAAACACACAAATATTTTGATTACCTGAAATGTTTATAAGGTCTAAGAGATAAAATTTAGAAAATAATACTACTCAACTTTTTATCATAAATGTGAATTTCAAACTACACTACGGTCAATAATAGATACAATAAATGTATGCTTTCTAATACACCCTTTGATTAATTAGAACTGACAAACAATAGATTGGGAAAAAGTTGGATATCTATCTACCAACAAAAGAATAAAACTGAATTAACTTTACACAAAATTAGTCGCCAATCGGTAGATAAGGTAGTGGATCTTTGTCGACTAAGATGGTTATGATATATGCTAAACATGCCTAACCACCACCTACATTAAAACGTAACATTTCCTGGTGTAGAATAGGTTGGAGTAAAGTTAAAGGCAATCAAACCAAGAAACGTGGCATCGATTTACGAATTTATTGACTGTTGAACTGAAAATAATACAGATTGAGTAAACGATTAATAGAGATAATCTATAAGAAAGACAAAATGATTATTAATTACTTACTGTCTAGAATACTAGAACATTCAGATGCGAAAAGGTCTATATCAGCAGGACCTAGAGTTCCATGATGTTTTTGTGGAAGACTTAAACTGTAACCATTATTGCAAGCTACAATAAACAAGTGACGATGAACAAAAATTAGATGAATTAAGGAAATAATGAAAATTGGATGAACTGTATTAAAACTAGAAAGAATATTCTGGAAGTGAAAATGCACATTACTTCTGGTAATAAAAGCAAAAACACTTAATTGTTGAACAATTACGATACATTATACAAACTTGGTAACACTAAACAAACTGAATGAAAAGAGAAAAAGGACTATACTTGAGCTAATAATTTTTTGGAATGAAACGGTTACCAATAAGTTTTAAAGTATCATTATCACGGTTAGACTTGATAATTTTAAATAAACTGAGTATTGGGGAGAATGTTGATAATAAAATAATGATATTCCAATGATTAGAAATTATAATTTCTGACGTTTCGTGACTAATCGTAAGCCACTTTTTAGAGTAAATATATAACTGAATTAAATTAATATAAGTTTAAAACATTATCTAATGGAGTGTAGATATTATAAATGTAATTACTACAGACAATTACGAAAGTGTGTGATGAAATTACTTTATTATTGAGATTTATTTAAAGACAAACAAGGACAATTGGTTTGTGAAGGTTTACAGATATTTACTTTCCATTAAGTACGGAACTAGAAGTATGGCATTTCAAGCAAAGCTGAACGGATCATATGCTGTATTAAAGGCATACTGTAAGAAAGATATAAGTTTGGTGTTTTATTAGAAATAAATGAAATTTTGATCTAGTCCGCATGCTACTCTCACTCTGGCAACTTACGTAGTCGTAATTCCTTCGATTTTGCCCGTTTAAGATTCTTTCGTAGTCTTGTTGTCCTACATAAACAGCAAAAGTTGAAGTGAACAACAGAGCATAAGATAATAGTCGGTTTAGCGAATTGATCGAAGTTCAGAATGGTTTATAACTCCAACGTTGTTTATGTACTCTAATATAAACAATCCAAATTGCTATAACTGCTCTAGGTAAAGCAAGCTACAAACAGAGTAATGACTGTTGATGAGATGAGACATGATTTCACACATACAGTGTTGAGTAATAAAGTTGTTCTAATCAGACATAATAATTTTACCACAACCGAATCTACAGAGACCGAATAACAGAATAGAGGATTAGAATATTACACAGAACAATTTAAAGACTAAGTTGATCGTTAACAACTTTACAAAATATCTATAAAATCATCTACATGATTTTAACATACCGAATGATTAACTGTAAGTGAGAATAAGTCAGATATGCTAGATATAACTCATTGTGGAATAATTAAGCCTAAAGGTAAAGATGAGATTTTTAAGACTGTGAAAAAATAAACCATAAAGATAACCCAAAACACTATAAAACATTTAAAAGACATACATGAAAAAAGTTTAAACCCTGAGCTTTCCTGTGGTAGATCTGTGAAATCATCCAACTGCAGATGTTGTTTCTGAGGGGTGTGAGACCTGACAATCTAAATATAAGTGAACAAAGAGAAAGAATAGAGAAAACACTTCAAATAAATTATAAAGGAAGTAACTGGATTCGACTATCTTCAATATTACTACTTTTTTCCATTATCAGTAACGGGTTTTTAGTATAAGAGAAAAAAAGTATCGACTTTATTTATAAGTTCATTCTTTTCTCAATAGGATGGTTGACTGAAAAAGTCGTAAATAAACCATAAATTTTAAACGAAAGTAATACGAATTGGCTGGAGTTACAAATGTGAATTATTGAATCCCAATTCAGTGGTTTAAAGGTTGAGTACCTATTGTACGACCTGTAAGCCCTGTGTGTTCGATCGACGGTGAGGTTGTGCATGAGGACTGTTGAGGGATTTCATACTAGGACGAAACAGCCAACCGGTGCTTCCTGTTCTTTAATGGTTGTCTAACGCAACTCATTCTGTAGTGCGGGACAACAAAATAACTAAGTTGAGGATAAATTTTCGAAGACAGTCTTTAAAAAACTAACAAACGAAGAAATTAATGATAAGGCAGTGTTAAGTAGTCTAAGTATCAAAAATAGTAGCTTAAAAACGTAAGCAGAGTTCGAACTGGTTTCCTGTTAGTTGGCAAACAAACATTCACATTCTTTAACAAAAGTCCCAAAGGACTCGAGAAATACTACGTTGTTAGTGCAGTCTGCACATATATACCATTTACATAAATCGGTTGTCTAATGATAATCAATGATATCTACTTGTGCTAAATACTGATTAAATTATTATTGTCTTCAATTACTCAATACTGAATACAGTCCACGACTGTATTACTATTTTGTTACTATTTTTGACTTGACATGTAGAGAAATATGGGTTCTGAAAAAATCTAAGTAATCTCGCTTTAAAATAAAAACAGTGGCAGAGAACCACAAGTAACGTTAGCTTCCCAAAGGTCAAAGATGTTTTATATAAGTAACTCCTAACTGAAAATTGATTGCCACTAATGATTCATATATTTTGTATACCACTTTAATGCACTCAGTATGCAAAAACATGACCCATAACAAAACATTTGTATTTCAGGAGAGTTACATCCTCTGAGTGAAAACCTATCATTTTTGTACTAGAAATAATCTTCAGTAATTAAAATGAAGCGTGTGCAAGTGAATGACATAACTAAAGCACTTCTGTCATATTTTGGCCTCTGATGTATAACGCTAATAGTCATAATCGAATCGAGAATCGAAATTTCCAAGCGGTATAATGCTCACAACAATTCAGGTAAAGACACACGAAATCTAACGCGTAGTCAGAATCTAAGTAGGTGCTCACAAAAGAGTGCGAATGTTTCTACCACTCAAATTACCGAGAAATATAACTACATTAATAAGTTTCGGACAGGTTTGGACTAACGGCAATAATTTGCGGATGAGAGAAATTCAACAATGCACTAATTCATTTACGCAAATAAAGCTTAAGTTTCAAAGTTGTGCGTAAAACGACTTTCTTAAAATTAGATACTCAAAGAGTATTTTCTAGCATTATTTTTCCTAACTCTAACAAATATTTTTTAATAGTTGAGATCATGAGTCAATTGGTGCTAGACCGCCAAGGAAAACCTAGAAGCACGGGAAGTATTTTTTAATTTAGTACAAAGTAGTAAACGTTTAAGTAGGATTATAAATTTGTGAGTAATAGCGGGAGAAGTTGAAATATATGAAGTAAAACATAAATACAATAGCAGTATATATTCATGTTTGACATCAACAATACTTTAGAGGAATATCAGACCAAAATTTGAATTAAATGATAAGAATAGGTGAATTCATTCAGGGGACGTTGATGATAAGCATCATAACACATAAAAATAAACTGATCTATATTACTAAGCAGGTAACTACTAGATCATATAATTACTTAGATCACATAAAACAAGGTTAAGGTCCTAACTGAATAAATGATTTATGAAAAACCGATTCACAAACAAGACGATTTACATTTTTTGCAAAATCTATGTTTAGATTATTGGCACTAATAGTTTTACTGCAAGATTTGTTTTGTTTTACACCCGCAGAATCTTTACATGTTAGAGCCTCTTCATCTTCAAGATCATTGGCCTCTGAAAATACTTCGTCATTTTCACTTTCTTCTGCTTCATCATCAGCAAAGAGACAAGGACGCTGTCTTGAAGCCTTTTTGCTACCGACCACTACATTGTCATCTTCCTCATCGTCGTCAAGTGACTCACTTCCTTCTTCTTCTTCTTCTTCTTCTTCTTCTTCGCTTTCACCATCACTACTATTTTCTTCCTCGGTAGTTGAGTTTCCATCGGATATTTCACTGTCATTTGCATCTCCTTCTGACCATTCTTCGTCACTATTGGATACTTCCTATAAAAACGTAATATATGATGAACAATTATACAGTAGTAAGAAAACCAACTAATTCCTTATTGACTAGATAATTACTCTGAAAATTTTTTAGTTCGATAAGAATATATTGTAAACAGAGAAATTAGATAAAAACATATCTGACGACAAAAAAACAAAATAAATATTGAAATATGATGTAATAATACAATAGTCGAATACAATTATTTTTTAGTAATGCCACCATTTGTGATGTCTTCGCATTAATAAACACAATCGTTAGAATAAAAGTTAATGAGGAAGCACAATGGATGTCTTAATAAAGAAATTAAAATAGATCAGGCAATAAAAGTATTCATTAAAGATGACTGACTACTTCTGAACTAAATACTCTTATCTGATGAAGATCTTGCTTTCGATACATTCATTAGAAAAAAATTGTGATAAGATTATTGTTTATGAGTACTTTTGTATGAACAATTTCTATTGATTTCTATTTGATTGTACAAAAAGTCAGTAATGAGCAAGTTAATGAACTATTTTCTTTTACAATAATTCTGCTTATCTGACTGTAACTTTTGTGTTTATGTAAGATTATAATTTGTCAGTATGAAATAAATAATCATCCATTTTCATTTATCAGTTTAGATTGAATGTAATGCAGTGGAAAGCTAAAAAGGTAACTTTTGTATTGTTAAAGATATGTGTACAAAGACTCCACTGTTATCGGATGATTTCATTGAAACCAACTTTCTTAGTTACAAGAAGTAACACCTTACATTTGGGACAGTAGTTCGAATACGCGTATTCTAGTATCAAATACATACTATTAATTAATTAACCGCTGAATAATAGTCGGAAGACCTCATGCAAATTAGTGACTTATATGCAGACGTGGATAATGGCTAGCAATGAAATCGAGGATGAGCGTTTAATCCTAGTTGGGATTCGTCAGCTAGGTTTACCTGTGTATCCAAGAGTTGATGCTTACTACAGAATTCAAACCCAGTACCGTTTGTTTTAAACGCCATCGTGTTATCTACCTAACTATTGAGTACAGATAGCCAACGGCTTGTGCAATAGGGTAAAGTTTAATTCATTTGTATTGATTTTTTAATCTTCCCACAGAAGCGGGTACATCTAACTAACGGATTCAAATAGGAAAAAATGCAGGTTCTGGATTCTACTTCTAACCACCATACACTTCCGCTTATAATAGTTGTGACTTGATGGCAATATCGAGACAATCCGCACAGGATCCAAATATGACAAAAAGAGGCTGATCATTTGCAGTCCTTAACATCCATGGCAGGATTCAAACAACTTACACTTCTGGAAAATTTCAAAATTGGTAACAGTATTTAACTCATAAACAAAAAGGATTAAATTAACCTACGACCAAATAGTTTAAGTTCTAGAGTGGATAACTCAATGGTGACGTCTCTTGGCTGTGAAGCTGGGTAGTACAAGGTCGAATCCCAAATAAAAATCGGTTCGTGTAGTATCGCAGGTATACTTTACTGATGAGTGCTAAATAGTACGAAATCTAGGTCGACTACTTCCCAACCACCATCTTACAACTTAAGATATTCAACAATTAAAACATTAATACAAATAACATTACAATCCAAATACTACAACGAACCCCAGTATTTTCATTTGTTGACTTTGGACATGTACCCTCTTCCTTTAACCGCATTTCATACTGCTCTAGTCTTTTCTGACGCATTTTTTCTTCGAGAACTTTTCTGTGTTCCAACCAATGTTTTCTACTAACTGACATAGTTGTTGATAATCCTTTGGATGGTTCATGTGTAACTGTTTCTACCTGTAGTTCTTCACGTTCAGCGTCAGTGCTTTGTACCTTAATATGAATAAAATTATAAAGCCAATAGACATGCTGAATTTGAAGAGAAGAGAATGTAAATGCGCATGGAACAAAAGTCAACATATTGTTATACAAAAAAGATTGATTGAACGAATAAACACTGCATATATTTTATATCTGTTCAATCCATGAGTTTAACTACACAATAGAGAATAGTTCGAAAAAGTCATGTATCTCCAGTTCTTACACTCTTCAACAAGTACATAAAAAATACAGACATAAAGATCTAAGAACTTGCAATGAACGAGAATGAAGAGGATTATCGTGTAGTGATGTTAAAATATGCAACTTTTGGACCAAAACCCCGGGTGAATATCTCTGAGTTAATGAAGATAATAGGAATAATAACAACAAAACACCTTGAAATCAGCCTGCGAACAATTATACTTAGTTATATTGATATTAATACATGAGGACAAAGTTTAGATGGAAAATTCTTACACGGATTCTACTTATACTAAAAACATTTTGAGTCCAGGTCATGATGAGTGGAATTTCAGTGTTACCTATCTCCAAAAAAGTAAAACAGTTCGCCGACCAAAGAACATCTGACCGAATGTGGTATTAAATTGGGAAGTACTATTATTATGAATTTAGGGTAGTTTGAGTATAACCAATATTACACCACACACAGGACTATAAGATTAACTATATGAGTCGTATATTACTAGTGGCTCACTGCCAGGGCTTTATGATACAATTTTATACAGACCGATGCATTTTTCTGGTAATTTTCTACGGAGTAGCTTAATAAACCCGTTCAATGTTAATTAGATCAGTATCAACGGATATCCCAATTATTTGTTACTATATTTTTGTTAACCGTTTTGACTGTATTGCACTACAGTAATCCCACAAGAAATCAGTAGTACAAGTGAAAAAAAAAATCAGTTTGGGTTAGGACTCCTTAAAAATAATCACACGTAGTACATTCAGAAATAGTACTCAAAACCATACAACAACCATGATATTACTGAAACACTGAAAATTGGTATTTTTTACGTTTAATTAATTGATCAGATATATTATTCGTTTCTTTATTTGGGAGCAACCATCCTGACGGATTGAACTATTTTGGTTTGATAGAATTCACTGAACGTTGCTTTGTTCATAAACCACTACTTGATATAGACAAGCGCGTAGTTTACTCTTGAGAGCGTAAAGACTAGAGGGATTTAAAATTAGGACTACAGTGATGCACAGAATTTGGGAATAGTAAAAGAAATCTTATAGTGATATGTCCTCATACAAATACATAGGACATACCTTTGTTATGATTGAATATTGGATGGGTCCACGTACAACTTTTTCATGAGACACGTGAAGATGAGATTTTAAACGAGCTAATAATTGACTAGGAGTTACAGATGACATTGAAGTAGGGATTGATTCACCTTGAAAAAGTTAGTGTACAACAAACAATGAAGAAAGAAGTTATTTATGATGATATAAAAGTTGACAAGATCATTCGCAGAAAATGAGGTGAGATAAAAGAAAGCTTGGGTATGAATAGGCTTTAAAGCAGTATGAACTGTTATAGAACTATCTAATGGACACATATTGTAGAGAGTAACCTATATATGAACTTTCTAAACCAACTTTATAAAGTTTCATCGAAGTAAGGTCCACTCACCTTTACATGTATACTTTGAGAGGTACTTCAAAATATTCTAATAATTATGATCTAGAAGAACACGTGAGAACTAGGCTTTAACAATAGACATAATGCTGGTAGATAAATAACTGGATAGAAATAAATTAAAGAGTACAAAACTGACACTAGGTAAAATTGAAAAAAGAACATCTATTCCTACCTAAATCTATGAAAAATTCTTCACTTTCATCATTTTTCAATTTCCTCGCAGCAAGGCGAGGTAACAGACTGGTTATTACATCTGGTTCGCTTGTAACATCGAGTGATGGTTTGGCATCAGATGACATTGATGGTGGTTCCAAAGTGGTGCAATCAATGTCGACAGGATAGTCGGCTGAACAACATTGTGAGACGAATGGTTTGGTATCCATTTTATTTTCAGTCTCTTCATTTTGGGTAGATTGTCCTGGAATTGGTGGAAGATGAGAGTTACAATCGGAAAGTAATCTGAAATAAATAAAACAAAGCACAATATTCATATTTTGCGCTGTTTTGTAAGAATCGTATTCTATCTAATAATATGATCGGAATTTTTTTCTAGAATTAAGTTACACCGTAGTTGATACTCATCATGATTAATAGACCGATGATATCATTAAGCCCATGAAGAAAACATGACCAAATATCGAAGACGTGTAAATTTGTTTCTTCCTATGGTGAAAGCAACTGAAGGTTACTTATTTCGGGTTCGAAGAACAGTAAAAAAGTGTCATCAGGGCGTTCAGTAAGACTGACCAAAAGTTAGATAGTTTATATCTATGTATTCCTCTATTATAGAATTCGAAAATTTGAGATCATAATTCTAAACCTTTTATTTATAATTGCTTTATTTAATAGTGTTTATTACACTAGCGAATTTTCGCCAGAAGATATTGTGACAAGACTCATTTAATGTGCGTTTACAACGTTCATATATATGCTTTTAAAGTTACTTTTAATGTTTTGTTCTTACTATCTCTTTCCTCTACATAAATTAATTTTAAACATGGCAACTTAAACGAAGAAACCAATGTAAGATTCTACATTACTCAAGTCAATAATAACCTGTCGAAAAGAAACATATTTAAAGGGATACTTTATTGAGAAACATGAGTGATTAGAAATCAGCCACGATTTGACCATGCAAAGTCTAAGTATATTTTGTTCAAGATAGCATCGAAACAAGTAGGGAGTACCGTAAACCAACTCATTCATTTAGCATATAGTCTTCATTCAATATAACACTAGGTTAAACAGTCATGCAATGTACCATCACTCGAAATAAAACCGAATACCAGAAACTGACAAAAACATTATAAGAATATATGTAGGATATGTTGTTTGATCAACTTAACTATTTACCTCTATAGTTTCAAATTATTTTTGTATCAACTTGGTATTGATAGACAGAACCAACGCTCCCCTCTACGTTCATGTCCGAGCAACACATACAACTGCTGGACGACTAAATCAACAGTCTAAACATTACTTAGTAATTTATTGAGCCATAGTTAAGTATCACCAACAAATATGTGAAATTATTTCAGATGTTCGTTAAGCTTTTAGAACTGTTATACCCAGTCTAGAGAGGTTCGATTTCTTAACATGATGTAGGGGATTGACATTCATCATGTCAAAGTACGGAAATTATGAGAAAGAGCCCTAGTGTGAATAAGTGTCGCATTATGTCAATCATTAAGTGTTAGTGGGATAGAATTTTGACGATAATCAATCCACTGTCAACTAATAAGCGCTAGGGGAAGAATAAAAAAACTATAAATTTCCCATATAAATTCCGTACAGGCATGTTTTTCTGTGTTGTTGTTCCAGTTTAGTGGAATATATTTTATATTTAATTCTTTCTACTCTGGTCACAATCATCAACAAATCTCCCACTACGAAATTGAACTTTTTACTCTAGTTAGCTGAGCAGGAAAGAAAAGGATAGAAGTGGTCTCGTTCATCGTACTGAAATTGGAGTTACAAAATATTAGTTTAGTGCCCAAACATATCAGTAACAATAAGTTTTACATTAAACACCAAATATATGTTCATAAGACAATAAAGATAACTCAACAAATTCAGCACATGAAAACACTCCAATATAAAAGACTTACTTATTCTGAGATGAGGTTTCACAACTTTCGGTTTCATTTGACTTGCAACCTTTTAGAGACTGACGAAACTCACTGAAACATTTAAATTGTTTAGGTCTGTGGACTGGTAAATGTACATCAGCTTCTACAACGTAAACAAACAAAAGTAACTAAGATGTCCAACCGACCTCGTACAAGTCGTTGTGATTCACTATGGATTTGAAGTCTTTCTTCTTCTATGTTAGTTGGTTTAGAATGACTTATATTGCGTCTGCCAGATTTACTTTTAGATACCTTTTTAGCTGCACCCTAAAAAATTACAATTGCTTCTAAGAATACTTACAGAGCTGAGTGTCCAGCGACCAACTTTTTCTTTTGTTTCTTCAATATCATCTTTAATAGTCCATAACTCATTATTTTCATCCAACGAATGTATTTGATTTGAAGGTGGAGAATCAACATTGTTATCACACTCATCACTTAATTCACTGTCGACAAGATCAAGTGGTAAGATCTGGGAAATGAATAAGGCAGATAAATAAATCGCAGGAATAAAATTAACTACAAAGAATATGATTTTATGCCTAACAATACAAACTCTAAGTCCATCCAGTTGTTTATAATCAATGCAGAGTCTCAAACAGATATGTGCTGTCCCAACTTTAAATTTCTTCCTCATCGTAGTTAGATGGGATTAACAAAACGACATATACTGGCTATGATATCACGACCATTTGGCTTTTAAGTTTTATTAAGGGGAAAAGAGGACTTATATACGTAAAATGGTAAGTATGAAAGTTTATTAACGGAGGAGACAATTTCATACGAACATTAAAAGGACAAAACACCTTTGTATAACAGATCAGACCCTTGCTGGGCATCAAATATCTAACTTCTGCTTCTCACTACATACATTTAAATTTTAAACTATCTAGGTTAGATATTCCAGACGAAATCTCTGGGTAATCAACTGGTGCAGTAGTGCTTCCAGGACCACAACCACAATAAGTTGATTGCCGTAACGTAGAACCTAGTATATGCGGTAAGGTCAAGTATAAATAGTTGAAACGGATTTCTTTATCGATCAGCCTTAGGTTTATCCCTTTTAGATTAAATCTTGCCAAAAACTCTAAGCCAACCAAATATACGGGCTTAGATATATTAGTGTTAAACACTTGCTAGGTTCGTATTTCAGTCACACAAATCGCCACTACCACAAGACTCAAAAAGAGCCAGATAGAATATTCAATCGCTGGACTATGACCAGAAGCGAGAACTTGGTGACCGAGAAAAAGAATTCGAGGTGATGTGAAGATTTACTCCGAGTATTTGCTACAAGATTTTATAATGCATATGATCGATTGGTTACTAAGGTTCAAATTCCCATCAGGTTTTCTTTAGTTTTAATTTAGAATTCAATGCTTATGGATCCTGACAGTTAGGCTACTTACCGAATGAAAAATGTACTAAAACCAACAATAATAGGCTTCTATTTCATTCTACGCCAATGAATGCAGCGTCAGCCACAGGTTCGTTTACTTAAGAAAGACAAATAAAGCGCATCAGTATTTTAAATCCGTGATGTATGATCAACAAAAGCGAAGGCAAAACAGACCAGATCCACTGAACGTAAGGTTGTTCTACACGTGCTCTTCTCTTTTGTATACTACCAACATTGAATTAACTACTTCCACGAATTCGGTGTTTATCTTGTTGTGCTAATGAGGTGTGGCAACTTAAACCGATGCATATATGTGCCTGGTTCTACGTTGTAGCCGACTGACTGACATGTGCTCTGGTAGGAAGAATCTATCTTCCCTCTCGAAATAATCATATAAGTTTAGATATTTACAACCTCCAGGGACTTCCTACTTACTGTACTAATATGAAAGCGGGGGCGCCTGGAGGCCATGTAACTCAATGGATTTACACATTAAATATAATTCGAAATAGAAGTTAGCGGCCTTTGTCATTTCACATAAAAATAAGGACTCCCTTAACTGAGTCGTTTTTTTGGTTGTATTTTTAAATGAAATTAATCTCCATTGATGTTATTGTTCACTTTTCGGTTGTAATCCCTGCTTCATTTCTTTACGACGTTATCTTTATTTTGAGTGTAGTATACGTTTTTAGCAACCAGTTGTACCAGAATTTGTGTATAAAATAAAATAAAAAATAATACCTGAGATACTTGCATATAAACAAACCCCGGATAAAGTACAAATAGTAGTAGTAAAATATATAGCACTGCTTACATACCGACTTCTTCACATTGCTTTCAGGAACTACTTCTTTTACATTTAAAGCCTCTATGGACGATAAATTTCCCCCAGTAGACGAAAGAGAATCGAGCATTTGTTCAACCTTATAGTACAGCAAACAAGAGTGATTAGAAGTTACATATTTATGTATACTTAATGAGTCCGAGTTCATTCTTTGGAAAGACGGGACATATAATTGAAAGTACGGGCTAAGCTTCCAAAGCGGCGCGAAAATAAAAGTTTCCTACTTGAAGACACTATGCTTTACAAGGCTCCTGGCAAGTTCCTGACATCTATCGATTTAACATGGTGTATTTCAGAAAACGTTCGTTTTTTAGACGTCAAATTTCACAAACCTAGTACAGAAACCACGAAACCTGAAGATCAAAACTCTTTTTCGAAGTAAAAACAACCTTAAGAGTTTTTCCATCCGGGCACTAACAGGAACAAATTAAATATCATTTAGGGAATTCGCAAACAGAAAGGTGAGTCTATTAGTGGCTTCCTGAAAACCCTGATCAAAATGTTCCACAGCAGGTATAAAAATGTGGACTTACACAAAAATATATTAGTCCAAGTGGCAGGACTTAGTAACGTCATGGAGAATAAAACAGCAAAAGCAAATTCTAATTCTCTATATATCAGACTAGGGCCTATTCAAGGGTGGTCGTTAGTATTGTTAGAAGTTGGGTAAAGTGACAAATTTGTATATGCCTATTAACGCTCCTGATAATCGAATATTCGTTGCCTAATTTATAGTCAGGGAAGTGACGAAGAATGAGGTAAGGTAATATACGGATGATGTGAGGAAATATTATTATTTCTCGTTATTTAATTTAAACAAACATTGTTAGAAGGAGGCACCAAATAGATATGCGCCACATAAGTCATTCGATTTCTGTGAGGGCTGGGGTACTACTTAGGTGCCCAAACCGGAGCAGGTGGTTTTCTCAGGGGCCACACCCCGAGCCATTGACCGGAAGGTCTGATCCACAGGGCAGTGGAACAACGTCATCTCAATTTGGGAAACAGAAGATGAAGGTTATAAAGCCAGTGATTGTGGTGTTCACAAAGTCTGAGGTTTTCAACATTATGAATTGGTATCACACCTTCGTTCAGCTACCACCGACTCTCTTCATACTATGTGGATCATTACGAAGAAGCAATCACTCGGGTGGCTTGTGACATTACTAATCTTGAAACTGTAGGGCCTGAGATAAGCAGAACAGATTTTATGACCAATAGCATCTGTTTTTATAGAGTTAACTACGTTACCTGGGTCCACTACCAGATTTATAAAGCCTATTGGTAAGTACAAAGTATCAATACAGTGTTTGGACACTTGGCACATTCAAAAGTCTTGGGTAGAACCATAAGTTATGGACTACCTTTGAGTGAACTTAGTTACCTTGAAAAAGTCCACCTACTAACTAGGACTAAATGAGGGTTATAAACCAGTGTGAGGGATTAGAATTATGATTTACAATTGATGGTTAAGGTTAGGACTAGATTTAGGGTTTTCATCACGAACTGACATCAGTAATAATGCTAAGGCTCTATCTAGCCAAATGGATGAGTGAATCTTGGGCCTAAATTCAACACTCGTTATTTTATACCTGATTGGTCATAAATTATAGTCTAGCCTGGAAAGCTAGTATACAACCCCAGCATATACAAGAATAACCCAATCTCCCAATTTTGGGGGAAAATTTGACCCTTTTTGGGTAAGCGACTATAGAAAACTTTTGAGAAATGACACCGAAACCCCGAAATTCCCTCAGATCTGAGGGAACTTAACGATAATTACACAAAATTTTCCTTAAACCTTGGTGAAAGTCATTTGACTTTGGGAATCTTTCCAAATTTGGGAGATTGGGAATACCAACACGACATTATGATTTGGTGCAAGCTCATCCTAATAATGACAATCAAATGCAGTGATCCTTGGAGCTATTACGTCTCCCTTGATCCACGTTAAAATTATTGTAATTAAGAATAAAAATGTACACATATTTATCAGCTCTACGCTATACTGTTAACGTGAGACTAAAAAGATAGTTCCCAACGGTGATTAATGCATATTTTAGCAGATACTAACACTACTATAATGAATAGAGATGAATCAAGAAAGAAATATCATTATAGATACCAAGGTTTCTCTACCATTTGAACCACCCACCACCATAAAAGCCCGTACCGAGCGCTCTGGTTTGTTACGCTAATTTTTGATTCGGAGAAACAAAATAGTTTCAAATGGTTCTGGGCTAAAAGAAAGAAGCTTATGCTTAACGGCACCTGGTATCTATTATTAGCGAATCGCTGATGCTTTCAGATAGGAAACTGCGTATGTTTAAAAATAAAAATTGATAAATATTTTTAAAAACCAATGAGATACTGTCCTTAGCCCTTAAGAATATGTTAAGTTTCCTTTTACAGGGCCCACAAGAAGTGTTTTGAACAAGATCAGTCGACAGGTAATTCTAGCATTTGCCCATAATCCGTTCTGTTATGTTTGCTTCCAGTTTTTGGTTTTTTCCTTGAGATTTATGATGGCACAGGGCCTAAGTAAATATTTAAAGGGATATGCAGAAGTGTTTAAGATGCTGTAAGTCATTAAAAGGTCAAATTTCTGATGTAAACTAAAATAGTATGCTTAAACCACGGGAAGACATATCACTCGATACAAATTTAAAGCCTTCTAGGGAGAGCTGCAACAGCACTAGTGGAAGCAGAGCTAGATCTTTTATACGAAGCAGCGTTATTTTCAAATCTGATAACTATTCAAAAAAGTGCTAAAACAACTTCCTTGCTAATGTCTGACAACGATGTCTGGTTTTGAGGATTCCTCGTGTTGGGCACTTTAGATCTCCAGAACTCACTTGGGAAACGACCTAGTTTTTTAATTTTACTTAGAAAATTTGAATTTCTATATTTTCGCGCCAAAGGCGCTTTTGTCACCTTTATGTCGTATTTCCCACTAGAAAATATCTTAAATGCTATTGGTTCGTTGCGTCTTTTAGTATGCTATTTGGTAACTGTCCCCAACGACGGTTTTGTACTGTATATATACGTTTTCAATTGTGTTTGTTGTTATCGCTCGTTTCTGGCTGTTCGCAGAATATAATTCCCATTCCAAGCTTGGACTTCTCCCTCTAGTGGCTGGGACGCATCAATAGCTAGCTTACTGGACTTTGGTCACTGAGTCTTGTTTCTTGTTTGCAGATTAAGTGAACTTGTGATAACTTCAACCCTAGCACCTCGCCGGCTGTACTTTTTATCTAACGTATAGGGCCATTGAAATGTCACTGAGTTCTAGCCAAAGCATCCGGCAGTTGAGTCACTGAAGAGCAAAGAGCTCGTCGATCTTCGACAAGTCCAAGGATAACCAACGCGCATCACTTAACCGTATGCCATTAAGTGGCCCATGAGGTGGTAGTCTTACTATCTTCTCTGTACTCGTTCTTACTAATATATTTCTGTAACAACGTTGATTTGTTTACACAGTCTCAAAAACAGCCATAGTACCTTGATACGACAAAGAGGTTGTCAACTTTAGGTGATGAACGTGTAGATCACCAGTGATTGGAGGCCTACTCGAGCCAGACAGGTATAGTATGACAAACCAGCTAATGTCGAAGTCACACCTCGTGGTCAGCATCTTACTTGGACTACCAAATAGCCATATCAAGGCGCTAAAAATCCTTTGAAGACTATACAACACAGAGGACGTTATTACAGAAATATATTGATTAAAGTAGATACAAGCAAAAGTAAGACGACTGCCGCATGGGCCATGCCATACCATTAACGCGTTGGTTGTCCTTGACCTTGACGAGGATCGATGATTTGTTCGATAATCAGTGACCCAACTGCAGGATGATTTGGCCAGTACTCAGCTGAATTTCACTGGCCCTGCAACCGCGAAGTGTTGCTTCGAAGTTAGCTTTTGATTAGACTGTAGCGTGGCTTGAAGTTGAGATTAACTATGAACACCGCTACCAAGAAACACGTGCCAAGTAAATCAGAAGGCGAAGGTTGAACGTAACCAAATAAATCCATAAAATCCCCGAGAAGCCAAATATCAGAAGGCAGTTAATGGACCAAGTCGAGATATATTTGCTGGCGACCTCGTGGTATCGAAAGGATACCGAGATCGTGACAGGATACAAGCTTGGTTACAGAACGTAACTGGATTCGCGCGAAGTCACAATCAAAGTGTGTGAATAAGAATGGAGGCACAATATAGCTGTCATTAGAACAGTCAAACAAAAGCACATTATAACAAAAACTGGTACAGTTGGTTATAATAATAATTGTTTTTATTAAACCAGTCGTGTTCTCGTGATAAATGTGAGTCACTACAAAACTATTCCCGTCTAACTCGAGCAGGCCCCTAGTCATTCAACATAGATCATCTACGTTAGTGATGAGTCGTTTACTTGTCTTATTACTTCGGTCATATCAAAAATATCCTCAATCACTCTGCACAAATGGCGATAACTGCTATTAAATAATTCACAGTCAGTAAACTCCAAAGGCTTCACATAATCATTGTATAATTAAAGCATACAACTCATCCACATATTTAGATTTAAACAGTCTTCATCTCGTGACACATATACGTGATCAATTTTAAATATTTGACAGACTTCAGTGACCTAGTCACTTTTATCCAACTAGTAACTCTATTTTCCCCACAAAAGATTAACTCATAACACATACACCTCTTATGTTCTCTTGTTTGCTTGTCTGCATGTTTGTGTAATTGATATTATATCCGGTTATGTCTTGTTGTTGCACTGTTAGTATGCACAACGATTGATTTTCGAACAGACTCACTCGCGTTATCCACTTCTCATCTCTTTATCTGTCTGCCCAAATGAATGTAATAAAAGTAAACATCCAAAACAATTGTACTCGAAATTTTATATACCTGTGGTTGTTTACGGGATTTATAGACTGAAAGTAACGCCCAGGCATCTAACAAGGTCGATCGCATCTCCTACCAACGACACAGACCACTCTAGTCTTTGTGATGGACGCAACATTATGAATTTTGTCTCTGCATTCACTGTTCTGTTCTTCTTTCATCTTGAAGTGTACTAGAATTCAAGCACTCCTAAAGTTTCACTTGCCCCATTTTACATGCAAAATAACCTTACACAATAATTTAATATACTAATCCATGAACACTAATCACTTGTTTCGAAGCTTGCTCAAATTTTTCCCTATAAGTTATCTGGATAGGCAAAATACTTCAATTTGATTACTAATTTAATAATATTACAAGTACAGGATAAGTAATGACGTATATACTTTTAGTGGCCTGATATCTGAATTCAGTTACATTGTAGGATGATTGTTATAGAAATATATATACCGTCAATCCTCGCATACTTTTATCGACTTCATTCGCGTTGGAGAATAACGGAATAAAATAAGTCAAATCAGAGAATGAATTTTAAATATGTATGTTTCATACAGTCATTGATCTAAGTGGGCAATCAAGGAAACAGAGCGAATGGAGTGAGACGAGACGAAGTAGCGCTCAGTGGAGAAGCAGAGTGATCCAACGCTTTTTGATCAAGCGTGACTAAATATTTACAGTCCGATAAAAATAAGTCACAGATACATAATGAAAAGGGTAGCTTGTTATAGCCTATCATCGATTGAACATTAGAAGAGGCTGGAAAAAGGCAGGAATGTAAAGAAACTCTGATTAAAATCAATATCAGATTTGAGGTTGAAGGCAATTGTATTGTCTGTAAGTATCTGAATTCAGCACGTTAACTATGATTATTTAAAGCTGATCAGTTGATACTCTAATAGTCTGTAGTGTGGCGTCTTGTCGAAATTGACTATGAACACCACTACAAAGGAACGCGTGCCAGGATATCCATTAAATTCCCTTGGAAGCCAAATATTAGAAGGCAGTTAATGGACCAAGTCGAGATATATTTGCTGGCGACCTCGTGGTATCGAAAGGATACCGAGATCGTGACAGGATACAAGCTTGGTTACTGAGCGTAACTGGATTCGCGCGAGGTCACAATCGAAGTGAGCATAATGGACGTTTTTAGCACAGTTAAACAAAAATCACATTAAAACAGCCACTGGTACAGTTGGTTATAATAATAATTGTTTTTATTAAACCAGTCATGTTCTCGTGATAAATGTAAGTCACTACAAGTCACGTATAGCCCGGTATTCAAGTCAGGAAGAACTCGGTGAGCACAGTCAAAGATAATGTCTTTGGAATTTAAATAAGCTACGGAATAATGCACATACGAATCGTTACTGTATAAAAACGTCACAGCAAGTAATTGACTTTACGATTACGAGATGGCTAATTAAGTATACAATTTCATGATTTCTGTCAAATATTTAACTGTACACCTGCGTTTAACAATATTCCAAGATAGTCTTTTTCAGTTTTTATGTAGGAAAATCTTTTTTTAACATTTTATTCACTATCTTTTAGTACGGAATTACAATTATAAATTACTCCAATTAAAACTGTACTAGATCCCTGTTTGGGTTTGTATATTTTCTTAGACTTATCCTGACGTATAACTTAATTCCTTTAATAACGTGATATAAAAAACCTTCTACTCATCGTTTTAGAAATAGATGCTTATTTTATAAAAAACATATACAGCGAACCACATGTGTATAATATTTTACATGAAAAATGACTGAACTAAATCTACATCTTGATACACATCTTAATCAGGTCGTATAAATTGTACATAAATTACTGAATACAATAGTTATCGAACAATATAAAGTGGTAAAATGAAATAAGAGGAAATAGGAATCACTTTTAAAAATTTGGAAATATAATGTAATTGACTAAATTATTTGAACCTTTTCACGTACAAGCTTTTTGAGTCTTAGCATTATGTATGTCACTGAAGTTTAGAAATTCGTAGATTTATACATCAGCTCCCGGTAACCCTTCGAATGTCTTCTAAACCAATCCTTAGTTCTTTGGACATCAAAGTGTTATAATTAACGTAAATGTTTTCATCAATACTTTGAATAGTTGTAAATGGACTTTCATTTCGATCTAGAGAGTTAAAATTACCATCATTCTGTTTTGCAGTGTTTGTTGTATAAGGGACTTCGTAAAGATTTTCGATTTTACGTGTATCCATCTGTGAATTTGCGTTATCGCCAAATGTACTCAATTTAACAAGGGAATGAT